GACTCGGAACAACCGCGAGCGTGGCCTCTGTCCTCAGGACCCTCTCGCCGGGCTGGAGATCCAGGCCTGCAACGCCGGGCCCTGCCCCGGAAGCGCTCGCGGTTCGGCGCCTGGACTGGGGAGTTGTGAGTGAACGGGTGCGGCGAGGTCGCGTGCGAAGCCCGTGCCCGGTGGGTGCGGAGTTGCTTTGTGGGATAGATGTCGTCTAATCCTCCCTTCAGGGCCATTCATTCAAACATTTACTCCACGAATGTTCACTGAGCCCCTGTGCGCCCGCCATTCCCGGTGCTAGCCCTTGGGGATACGGCCCCCTGAGGTCACGGAGCGCGGATTGACGGCTTAACCCAGGAGGGAAGGTTAAAATCAATGGAGGAGATACGTGGCTTTTTCTCTCTTTGTTATTTTGCATGAATCGTGCCTAAAACGTACTTTTAAGTGGGGAAGGTTCTCTGAAGATTTGAGCTGAACGCCATCTGCTCGAGATTTAACTAATTGTTCTCTCCTCTCTCTGACTGTCGGACGCGCACCTTCTCCGGAGGATGGGGGAGGTACCCGAGCCCGGTGCTGTTAATCCGAACGTGTGTGAGCAAAGACCCTCAACCTTTGCTGGTTAGCGTTCGGCCACACCCGACGAAGAGTTCATTTACTCTGTGGTTTAATTTTTGGTGTTTAAGAATAATTGGTGGTGCCTGTTTTCACAAAGTACATTCCAGCAGATCTTCAGAACTGGGGTGCACTAAGTCAGTGTAGGCAGCCATTGGCCACATAGGGCTATTGGGCACTTGAAATACAACTATACCAAATGGGGGTGTTTTTAGGCTTAATAGGGGGTGTTAAATGTTTTACTAATAAGATTTTATACTGATTGCTGAAAAGGTAATGCTTGTTGACTTCTACTTTTTGTGATGTGGCTACTAGAAAATGTTAGGATGTGTTTGGAACGCTGTTGGACAGTGCTGCTCCTAGTGATCCTAAGGGGGCTGTTCAAGGACCACCTGTTGAGCACTCAGGGATATGTGACTTTGGGGACAAGGATTTCTATAGGGAAAGAGCCTCCAAACATGAAGAAACAGCCCTTACTGAGCCTTAACTAGATGCCCAGTCTCGTTCATGAGTTAATTTGATTGATGTCCTTGATAACTCTGAGGTATAGGAACTGTACTTGTCACCATCAAACTGGTGAGAAGTTGAGGCTCAGAAAGGTTAAGTGACTTATCCAAGGTTACACAGCAAAGCTAACTCAAGCTGACTTCAGAGTCTTAACCCTAATCACTGATTGTCCAAGGACGCTAACCTTACCTGGTATTGCCAGCTCGGTGTCTGTAGTATATTAATGTTTTAAGGCAAAACAAAGGCCAGACACTTAGTTAACCATACCATTATTCACATTTTGGACACTCCCTTCACACACGGAAACAGAATCCCAACAGGTGTGCTATGTCCATTTTACTACAGGCTGTTGAAAAAGGTGGGACAGAAGTACTGACATCCTGAGATCTTTGCTTATAGCTCAAGCAAACTTTACAGAACCTCACGGGAATTACTGAGGCAGCAGTCCCCAGGAAATAGGGCACATAACGAATTAGCAGTTTGTTCTTGAGTTAAAATTTACTAATGACCATTTATGGAGCATGTACTGCAGTTCAGGCACTTTGCTAAATCCTTCCTGTGGTATCTCGTCCAATTCCAATGTCTACTTCCCATCCCCAAGCATTTTATCCTTGAAAGAATATAAACATACAGAAAGGTTGAAAGAATTGTACAGTGAATACTCACATTACCACCACCTAGATTTTATTAGTCACATTTCTGCAATATTTGCTTTATCGTATATGAACCAAAGTTCAATGGTTACAATGACTACTCTTTAACGTATTGTTTCATTGCTTTTAAAATGTTCATATGGGATAATTTATCTGTGTGTGGGTAATAAACTTTTTTTTAAACCTCATCTGAGGACATGTTTGAGAGAGGGGGAGACAGAGACATCGATCAGTTGCCTTCTATACATGCCCAGTCCAGGGTCTAATCCACAACCCAGGTGTGTACCCTGACCAGGAATCAAACTGGCAGCCTTTTGGTACACAGGACAATGCTCAACCAACTGAGCCACTCTGTTTTGATGCCAGTACCAGTCACTTTTGAAGTAGTTTTTGCTTCCAGTAATATCATATATCCAAAGTATCCTATAAGGAAGTTAGAGCAATAAAACAAGATCTAAACCTATCAGGAGAGCCGCACACATTCACTTAGGTTTTTCTCTATTCTGCATGCAAATGTGCTGTAGTATTTCTGAGGGATTGTAAAGGGCTTATTGTCAAACTTAGAAGTAAAAAATGGGTAAATAACAGTGACCAGCATTTCCTTAAGAAAAAGACAAGCTGAGGTGACGATTCTACTGTGTGTCCTGTGAAGATGGGATCTTCCCTGAGGAATTGTTCCCCGGGTGTTCCTGGCTTTGTGGACACTTGCTGCTGTGTTCCTTGCCGCCATCTTGCGTGCTCAGCTTTTGGTTGCGAACTAGATTTGTTGCCTTGTCAATTTGTTCACTCTGTAAATCCTTTTATCTTGTTATTAGGCTGCACTTTGGCGTAAATTGCAATCGATTAGGGATCGTTTCTCTGACTCAAGTTAGAAGTGAGAGTTCAGATAAGTGAGGCCGCCATTGCTGCTTTGAACACCTCAGAAGGGGAGAATGGATTTATCAGGAGTGAAAAAGAAGAGCTTGCTAGGAGTCAAAGAAAATAATAAAAAGTCCAGCACTAGGTAATTCTTCTGTCAGATTTTTCTAGTGCTACTTTGGGGGTGCTTGTTGCTAGGGATTCTGAGAAAGGGGAAGATTGGAAATGTCTTACATTGTACGGTGAAAGTGACCTGAGCCACAGATCATTTTTGGTCTATGATGGCCTGGGATCTGTAGCCGCATGGATCCCCTCTTTTGGGTTGTGCTGTTGTTTCTGGGTTCGATCAGAGGGGCATGCGATCTCACACTCTTCTTCATCATCCAGGGCTCCTTCTCCTACCAAACGCAAAGACCGTTCTGATGAGAAGTCCAAGGATCGCTCTAAAGATAAAGGGGCCACCAAGGAGTCGAGTGAGAAGGATCGTGGCAGGGATAAAACTCGAAAGAGGCGCAGCGCTTCCAGTGGGAGCAGCAGCACCAGGTGGGGCTGACAGGTCGTGTTGAGAGGCCTCGCTTCCCTCCTGAAGAGCCCAGGGAGTGCTCTGTCTTTTTTATTATTTGTGAAGACATCACACTCTGATTGTTAATTGGCATTCTACTTGTGGCCAACTGGTTTGGGGTTTGCTCTGGTTGTGTATAGGAAGTTGGTGTCTGGTTTTTCTTTCCTTGAGATGTTGAGGAATGAGATGTCTTGGGGTATATTTTTCTCTAAAGTGCTTTTTATTCAGAGTAATTGTATTGCCCTAGCCCTGAACTTTTTTCTTCCATTGAAAACCAGCCTCAGTCAGCCCATCAGTAGTTACCTTTCAAGCTGAATTGATGGCTCTGACTTCCCAGGCTCTTTCCTTACCTTTCAGTAGACAGGGCTTCTGTGTCAGTAGGAAGCAGCTCATTCTTCCTTTTTTGTCCCTGCACAATGTGAATGCTGTTTCCTGTTCCCACCGAGGGTTTTGGCTTGAGTGTGAGGTGGTAAATGTTTTCCCCGCTGGGGAACGTAGTGCCACTTGGAAAACAGAACAGCTATTTACTCTTGGGAGCATGGTGCAGGCTTGCTTGTGCTGTAAAGAAACATCGCTCCCACCTGTTGTCTGTAACACCCGCCTCCTCCATCTCACTCAGGTCTCGGTCCAGCTCTACCTCCAGCTCTGGCTCCAGTACTAGCACTGGCTCAAGCAGCGGCTCTAGCTCTTCATCAGCATCAAGCCGCTCAGGAAGTTCCAGCACATCCCGAAGCTCCAGTTCCAGCAGCTCCTCCGGCTCTCCGAGTCCTTCTCGGCGCAGACATGACAACAGGAGGCGTTCCCGCTCCAAGTAAGCTCCCCTCCAGCACCATTTCTCACCAAACTTGTGAATTATCTGTAAACGTAAGTTTACGAAGGGGGGACTATAAAGTTACTGTAATTATTCTAAAAGTAGACCCAAAGGAGTCTTTCTGTCCTAGTAGTATTTCTAAGACAGGGATAATATGTATGAACTAGTAGGAAAGGCTTCCTTATTTAAAAACTCACACTAGCAGTTAACATCCCAACAAAAAAACTTTGACTTGACAGAAATTGATTGTTTTGGTATTTTGTTTTTTTCAATCAGATCCAAACCACCCAAAAGAGATGAAAAGGAAAGGAAAAGGCGGAGCCCTTCCCCTAAACCCACCAAAGTCCACATTGGTAGGCTCACCAGGAATGTGACCAAGGTGAGGAATCCCAAATGCAGTGGATCAGGGATGGTAGCCTTTTGGCGGACTTGTGTGATGGATGGTACATGATTCCAATAGTGCACTGATTAATTCATTTTAATGGAGTGTGAGTGTGTGTGTGTGTGTGTGTGTGTGTGTGTGAGTGAGTGAGACTGACTAGGTTGACCCCCAGTGCCAAGGTTGTAGTTGTTATGTGGTGAATTCTGTGTGTGTGTGTGTGTGTGTGTGTGTGTGTTGTTTGTTTTTATTAATGATTTCAGAGAGGAAGGGAGAGAGAGATGGACACATCAATAATGAAAGAGAATCATTGATCTGCTGCCTCCTGCATGCCCACCCTGGGGATCGAGCCCGCTACCCGGGCATGTGCCTTAACCAAAAATTGAACCATGACCTGGTTCATAGGTCGACGCTCAGCCACTGAGCCACTGAGGCCGGGCAGTTCTCATTGACTCTAACTGGTGACTTGTGCTTAAGCATTAGTGACGCTCCTTTCCCTTTAGGATCACATCATGGAGATATTCTCCACCTATGGGAAAATTAAAATGATTGACATGCCTGTAGAAAGGATGCACCCCCATCTATCTAAAGGCTATGCGTACGTGGAGTTTGAGAATCCAGATGAAGCTGAGAAGGCGCTAAAGCACATGGATGGAGGTGGGTGTGGGTGACCCTACCAGCACTCCTGGACTCCCTTCTCTGTCTCCTATCCAAGACCGGCTACCCACCACATATAGGGACCTTTAGAACCACTTTCCATCCTGGCTACACATCAAAATCTCCCTGGAGCTCTTTCAGGATTTTAATTCCTATTCAGTGGGTGTGTTTTTACCAAAAAACATGTTAGCAGACATGTATATATTAGCATTTTAAGAATTTTTCAATCTGTTAAAAAGCTTAAGATTGAATGGTGTGGGTTTTGTGGCGGGGGGGTTACAAAGAATATATTATGGACATAATGGAGCCATTTTACTTTTGTATGGGAACGTTTCCTTTAATCCTCTCAGAGTCATTTTTCTATTTTGCTAACATTTCAGCATTTTTAGAATTTTTTTAAATTTCCTGAATTCACAAATTTAACCCATTTTCTAAAAGCTTGTATCGTGACTTTCTGATGACATCTGCTGCCATTTGATATTGAGCAGAATGGTTTTAACGGTTAAACATTTGTGAATAGTTTCAGATGACCAGTTTTCATTTTGTCTTTAAGGAATGTGTAATCTGTCTCTGCCCCAGCTCACTGACTGTTTCAATTTATTTAAATCCCTTTGAACTGTCTTAGGGAGTAGTTTAGTTCAGAATAAACTACAGTCCATCACTTTGCATGCATCACCTTTTGGCTTTGTGAGTCACACCTTCGTATTAGAGATTGTCAATCATGTTTGACGGTCTGTGCACTTGCTAAAAATTCAGGAAACTTGGACACATCCAAGGTGTACCTGATTTATAAACATTCACATTTTCTTTTAAGATTCTGGTGGACTTTTGTGTTTCCATGTTGGCTATGCACCATCGAATGGAACAAGTCTACATTGTCTCCAGAAGGAAAGTGGAAAGGCTTGGCTTTTACTGGCAGCTGGCCAGAAGGCGTATTTGTCTCTGTTGTCTTATAATCAGTGCCATGAAATTTGTAACGGGCTGGCTTTGGTAGTGCCAGGGCCAGCTTAGGCTGCAAATACTAAGCCTTTTGAGTCTCTTCTGAACACAGTTCCTCGTGCCTCAGTTATCCCCTCCATGCCTTTGACATTTCCTTAAAGGTTAGAGCTGAGAAGATAAAAGAGCCCTCTACCCTGTGGGGACACAGGGGCTGTGCTTGGTTCCCTGAGCAGTTCCTAGACTGAGGTTGCAGTGTATGCTTCCCTGGGGTTCCTGGGTCTGCGGCTCAGTGTCCTTTGGTCTTTCACTGAATCCCTGCAGGCTCCTCTGGCCTCCTTCCTATGCTGCCTCCCTGTGAGCACTTTTCCAAACTCTTAGGGCAGACTTGGCATCTCCTGAACCTCATTTCATTTTGTCCCCTCACCCCTGAGGTGTTCTTCCTCCTGAGCCCTACTTCCCAGGTGATCATAATTCACCCAAAACATGGTGCTGATCATCCCTCCTTCCCCAACTCCCATCTGATCCGTCGCCTGGTTCTGGTGATTTTACATCCCAGTTATCCCTTGTGTTCTTAGTTCTCACCCTGTCTCAGTTCTTGTGACCCCCTTGTGAGTCTCCCTTCTCTTGCCTGTCCCCTTCCCATTGTTCTTGAGAAGGAAGCTCAAGTGCTAATCCCATGGTCTGGCTCAGGGCCGGCACACTCTTCCCCTCAGTTTTGCAGATTCCAGCATGTTCTTTAGATGTTGACCCTGGGAGGCCATTCCAGTACATCAAGATTGAGTCCCCAGTAATGTTCTACGTCCACTTAGAGTTTTCTTAATGAAACCTTCAATGATAATAATTATGTGGTTATTTCTGTGAGGAGCTGAGTTTGTCCTTATTCCCAGGGCCCATTTGTCTTGCTTTCCATGGTATGCCTACATCTGACATGGGGCCTGGCCTAGATTAGGGGCATGTTAGATATTATGTGACTTGATCCTTTTTTCAACAGGACAAATTGATGGCCAGGAAATCACCGCCACTGCTGTGCTGGCCCCCTGGCCTAGGCCACCCCCCAGGCGATTCAGCCCTCCCAGGAGAATGCTACCACCACCTCCCATGTGGCGTCGGTCACCCCCACGAATGAGGAGAAGGTGAGTCTGTTCGGGGTTTCACAGGAGACGGGGGCCAGTCTGGGTTGGTTTTATTTACACCACAATGTGACAGTAATGACTTTGGGATTTTATTCAGCCCCACATGTACTCATGCACGAGTGCACACAACCATGATGTGCCTTCAAAGCTCATGTTCATTACAGCAGGGGAAAGGCAGAGAGACCACCAGAAGGTGTGGCCCTTGCAGGTTGCACCAAAACTCCAGAACATCTTTTCTTCGCAAGCTATCCTGACTCAGAGTATTGAACCAGGAAACTGTACAGAATTGTTCCAAAAAGCCAGTGTTGCCCCTGCAGTCCAAGATGCAGAGCTGCTTCCATGGCGTGTGCTTCAGTGTCTGATGTTTTTCCTCTTCCCACAGGTCACGCTCCCCACGGCGCAGGTCCCCTGTCCGTCGGCGATCCCGCTCCCCCGGCCGCCGCCGCCACAGGAGCCGCTCCAGCTCCAATTCCTCCCGATAAGCAAACCACCGAAACTCTGCCCCGAAACGTATATCCCATCCAACTCAGTTCTGTCACTTTTCTAGCTGAACGACAGTCAGTAGGAAACAAATCCTCACTCGGGGGCAGGCTTCCAAAGGAGCATTGAGACGTTTCCTCTGAAGGCCAAGTTTGGCTGCAGAAGTGTTGTTGATTTGGGGTTGTGCCTATGAAGATGCTCTCCAGTTTCATAGCTAGAAAGTTCCCACGTTTCCAGTCTCTGAGAGTCAGTTTAGTAGCAGAGCCAACAGGAAGAGCAGGGTTCTAGGTGGCAGTGCCGCCCCAGCCTGGGAGCACATTTCCATTCCATAGATGACCTAGGGCCCATCTAGTAGCCTGAGGATCCTTCAGGAAAGAGCATGCTTTTGTGCAGCTGCTGTTCCTATAAACCTGGTCGCGCTCCCCTGCTTGAGTTCTGACTCTAGAGAAACATCCCATGTTAGTTGCTGTAAATGGTTCTGTTCTCACATGTACATATACATTCATCCATATGGCACATCTCCTTTTTCTCTAAAATTGGTGAGCAAATATGAGAGCTCTGCAAGGTCATCACAGACCTTCTCCCCCTCCGTGGTGGTCTTTGGGGTTACCTTGGCAACGTGTACATTGCTTTTTCGGCTATTATTGTACAGTCAGTACTATGAATTTTCTGTTTTGAAATTTTTTTGTAACTTTGTAGCATTTTAGATAATGTGTTTATACTTTGTTGTGTAGAGTAAAAGAATTGTGTTGAATAAATCTAGGATTAGAATGCAGATTGAGTGTTGGGTTCACTGCTTTCTTCCTGTCTCTTGGCCCCAAAGATAGCTATGATTGTGAGGGACATGTGGCTGCCTAAGATCTTAATTGGTTTTGCTTTCAAAGTCACACCTCCAAAATCAAACAAGAGAACACTGGTCAGTTGGGTTGCTCCTGCACATAGACATATATGAGGAAGATGTTTTATCACCTTTATATACCCAGGAACTTCTAGATCTGCCTGACTGGAAACATGGATCTCATTTGCTGCTGCTATATTTGATACTACGGAAAAAAAATATTTTTCCTCATAAATTGGTTTGTTCCAAGAGGAAGACTGAAACACTTAAGGTGTTAAAGAGCAAAAGTTCGAATTATCCGACATTGCACTTGACCCTTGTGCCCACTGTGCAAACCGAATGGTCAGAACAAGACCATGTCAGGCGGTACAAAGGCTTGCTCCCCATGCCTCTCAGGTCATCTTTATTTGTTTATTGGGTATTTTTTCAGTGTTTCTCCATGTGGGATCAAGCAAATGGAAACGCCCACTATTTCTTGTGGAGGAGAATGGTCCTGCCATTAGTGCCGGTTGCAGTCTGCAGCAAGTGTGCTGCCCTGCTGGGCTGTGGGGGAAGGCAGACTCCCTTCTCAATCACCAGGCTGTGCTGATCGCCGTGCCCACATTACTATCCTCAATGTTTTCCCTCCACAGGCAGCAGGCAGAGCTCACACTGAGGCAGCACCCGGCTCGCATCTGTTTCCTGGTGTGAGTTTGCCAGGGTTCCCGGAGTCCCTATTACCTTAACTGACAAGCCTCCATGACCTCTGTGAGTTATGGGCAGGCAGTCCCAGTTTCAACACTCCTGCTTTGGTAACTTGATCTTGGCCAGGTTGGGAAGCCTGCCAGCCTCCCATGGGCGCAGCTGTAAGTGTGTGTGTGGGGTGGGGGGGGCG